AATTCATGACAAAGTACAGAACAGTTATAGACAAGAGCAACATAAGATATTACATTAAATTCAAAATAAAAAATAAAAATAAGAGTTATATATAGGAACCAAGAGATAACAAAAATACTATTTACACAGTTCACATATACAGTTGAAGTCAGACGTTTACATACGCCATAGCCAAATACATTTAAACTCAGTTTTTCACAATATCTGACATTTAATCCTAGTAAAGATTCCCTGTCTTAGGTCAGTTAGGATCACCACTTTATTTTAAGAATGTGAAATGTCAGAATAATAGTAGAGAGAATGATTTATTTCAGCTTTTATTTCTTTCATCACATTCCCAGTGGGTCAGAAGTTTACATACACTCAATTAGTATTCGGTAGCATTGCCTTTAAATTGTTTAACTTGGGTCAAACGTTTTGGGTAGCCTTCTACAAGCATCCCACAATAAATTGGGTGAATTTTGGCCCATTCCTCCTGACAGAGCTGGTGGAACTGTGTCAGGTTTGTAGGCCTCCTTGCTCGCACACGCTTTTTCAGTTCTGCCCACAAATGTTCTATAGGACTGAGGTCAGGGCTTTGTGATGGCCACTCCAATACCTTGACTTGTTGTCCTTAAGCCATTTTGCCACAACTATGGAAGTATGCTTGGGGTCATTGTCCATTCGGAAGACCCATTTGTGACCAAGCTTTAACTTCCTGACAGATGTCTTGAGATGTTGCTTGAATATATCCACATAATTTTCCTTCCTCATGATGCCATCTATTTTGTGAAGTGCACCAGTCCCTCCTGCAGCAAAGCAACCCCACAGCATGATGCTGCCACCCCCGTTCTTCACGGTTGGGATGGTGTTCTTCGGCTTGCAAGCACTCCCTTTTTCCTCCAAACATAACGATGGTCATTATGGCCAAACAGTTCTATTTTTGTTTCATCAGACCAGAGGACATTTCTTCAAAAGGTACGATCTTTGTCCCCATGTGCAGTTGCAAACCGTAGTCTGGCTTTTTTATGGCGGTTTTGGAGCAGTGGCTTCTTCCTTGCTGAGCGGCCTTTCAGGTTATGTCGATATAGGACTCGTTTTACTGTGGATATAGATACTTTTGTACCTGTTTCTTCCAGCATCTTCACAAGGTCCTTTATTGTTGTTCTGGGATTGATTTGCACTTTTCGCACCAAAGTACGTTCATCTCTAGGAGACAGAACGCGTCTCCTTCCTGAGTGGTACGACGGCTGCGTAGTCCCATGGTGTTTATACTTGCATAGTATTGTTTGTGGTCCTCTGTAGCTCAGCTGGTAGAGCACGGCGCTTGTAACGCCCAGGTAGTGGGTTCGATCCCCGGGACCACCCATACACAAAAATGTATGCGCACATGACTGTAAGTCGCTTTGGATAAAAGCGTCTGCTAAATGGCATATTAATTAATAATATTAATTGTACAGATGAACGTCGTACCTTCAGGCGTTTGGAAATTGCTCCCAAGGATGAACCAGACTTTTGGAGGTCTACAATTTATTTTCTGAGGTCTAGGCTGATTTCTTTTGATTTTCCCATGATGTCAAGCAAAGAGGCACTGAGTTTGAAGGTAGGCCTTGAAATACATCCACAGGTACACATCCAATTGACTCAAATGATGTCAATTAGCCTATCAGAAGCTTCTAAACCATGACATAATTTTCTGGAATTTTCCAAGCTGTTTAAAGGCACAGTCAACTTAGTGTATGTAAACTTCTGACCCACCGGAATTGTGATACAGTGAATTATAAGTGAAATAATCGGTCTGTAAACAATTGTTGGAAAAATTACTTGTGTCATGCATAAAGTAGATGTCCTAACCGACTTGCCAAAACTATAGTTTGTTAACAAAAAAAGTGTGGAGTGGTTGAAAAACAAGTTTTAATGACTCCAACCTAAGTGTATGTTAACTTCCGACTTCAACTATACATAACATACTATTATATACGGTACAGTTCAAATAAATGTTCAGAAAGAGGAGAGGCGCTGTGATAGAGTATGTTTTTTTTATTCGTTTTTTTTTTAAAGCTAAACTTGCTTTTTGCCTGAGTAACCTCAGGCAATTACCTATCAGCAATGGGATAAGGCTTTTTCATGCACGACACAGCCTGTGTGTTCCCTTCTCAGCTATAGCTGTTCTGTTCAAATAGAATCTTCAGAGACATTGTTCTGCTGCAGTGACCACAGGGCCAGAAGAAAATGCCGTGCCACATACAACATACACAGTAATCTCCATCCCCCTAGTTTACTTTTCAGAAAACAAAAACAGGTTTTATACCATATAGACATACATATCAATGGAGGCAGGTGGAGAGAGAAATCAGAGGACGAGATCATTGTAATGCGTTTGATACCATTCCATTCATTCCATTCCAGCCATTCCAATGAGCCTGTCCTCCAATTTAAAGTGACGCCAACCTCCACTGGTACACATGAGGGGTTAACCATTCTGATGGGTTGCCTAGATGCAGCTTAGTGTCAGTCTTAATTAACCCGCTAAGGTCTAAGGACCCGGGGCTGGGTTTCTACTAAGCTAACATATGGAATTGTTTTAAGCAGCCAGATCACCTGTGATACAAGTCAGTAATCGACGCCCATCCATGTCTGAGAACGTCAGGAGATGACGTGGAAACTGGCTACTAGGGTCAATAGTGAGTGTTTTTACCTTAAAGTAGGTTCCGGTTTTGTTTGGCGGATGGTCGTAAGCATCCAGCGATAGTAAGTTGCTTTTGAGATCTTTGTTTTAAGACTATCCCTAACCCTAAGTACCCTATAAGTATTCAGACCCTTTACTCAGTGCTTTGTTGAAGCAACTTTGGCAGTGACTACAGCATCGAGTCTTCTTGGGTACGACGCTACAAGCTTGGCACACCTGTATTTGGGGAGTTTCTCCCATTCTTCTCTGTAGATCCCCTCAAGCTCTGTCAGGTTGGATGGGGAGCGTCGCTGCACAGCTATTTTCAGGTCTCTCCAGAGATGTTCGATTGGGTTCAAGTCCGGGCTCTGGCTGGGCCACTCAAGGACATTCAGAGACTTGTCCCGAAGCCACTCCTGCGTTGTCTTGGCTGTGTGCTTAGGGTCATTGTCCTGTTGGAAGGTGAACCTTCGCCCCAGTCTGAGGTCCTGAGTGCTCTAGAGCAGGTTTTCATCATGGATCTCTCTGTACTTTGCTCCGTTCACCTTTCACTCAATCCTGACTAGTCTCCCAGTCCCTGAAAAACATACCCACAGCATGATGCTGCCACCATCATGCTTCACCGTATTGATGGTGCCAGGTTTCCTCCAGACGTGATGCTTGGCATTCAGGCCAAAGAGTTCAATCTTGGTTTCATCAGACCAGAGAATCTTGTTTCTCATGGTCTGAGAGTCTTTAGGTGCCTTTTGGCAAACTCCAAGCGGGCTGTCATGTGCCTTTTACTGAGGAGTGGCTTCCGTCTGGCCACTCTACCATAAAGGCCTGATTGTTGGAGTGCTCCAGAAATGGTTGTCCTTCTGGAAGGTTCTCCCATCTCCACAGAGGAACTCTGGTGCTCTGTCAGAGTGAACATCGGGTTTTTGGGAACCTCTCTGATCAAGGCTCTCACATGCACTGTCAACTGTGGGACCTTATATAGACAGGTGTGCACTTTTCCAAATCATGTCCAATCAATTGAATTTACCACAGGTGGACTCCAATCAAATGTAGAAACATCTCAAGGATGATCAATTGAAACAGGAAGCACCTGAGCTCAATTTCGAGTCTCATAGCAAAGGATCTGAATACTTATGTAAATAATGTATTTCTGTTTTGTATTTGTAATAAATTAGCAACATTTTCTAAAAACCTGTTTTCACTTTGTCATTATGGGGTATGGTGTAGATTGATGAGGATTTTGTATTTTTTAAATCCATTTTGGAATAGGGGCCTGAATACTTTCCGAAGGCACTGTATATCCATATACTGTATACTTCCTGGTTCATTGTTTAAACTGGTACCGGGCTACCTTCAGACGAGTCGCGAGGCCTGTGGGCGTCCTAGAGCAAAACAACAGACATGCATGTGTTCCTGAGAGTCTCTCCTGTTCACAGAGGGTCATATTAGTGTGTAGCCCAAACAGTTCGGACGCTACAGACGATTTCATCAGAAGACCGATTTTCGGGATCTCTCCGTGTCTGACAAACACCGCTGTAGCTTTGCCACCTTCCACCGCAGATGCGGAAGGCTGACATTGGCGGATGGAGATGCATTTAAGACGGATTTTCATGGGGATTTTTGTATTATGCTAATTACATTTCCATGGGGCGATGACATGGACTCTAGGTCAACTGCCAGGCGATGAGGACATGGCCTCTAGGTTAACTGCCAGGCGATGAGGACATGGCCACTAGGTTAACTGCCAGGCGATGAGGACATGGCCACTAGGTTAACTGCCAGGCGATGAGGACATGGCCTCTAGGTTAACTGCCAGGCGATGAGGACATGGACTCTAGGTCAACTGCCAGGCGATGAGGACATGGACTCTAGGTCAACTGCCAGGCGATGAGGACATGGACTCTAGGTCAACTGCCAGGCGATGAGGACATGGACTCTAGGTTAACTGCCAGGCGATGAGAACATGGACTCTAGGTTAACTGCCAGGCGATGAGGACATGGCCTCTAGGTTAACTGCCAGGCGATGAGGACATGGCCTCTAGGTTAACTGCCAGGCGATAAGGACATGGCCTCTAGGTTAACTGCCAGGCGATGAGGACATGGACTCTAGGTTAACTGCCAGGCGATTAAGACTTTCAGTGTGTGTGTATGAGTAGAGCATGAGCTTGCAACGCAAGGAACGTGGGTTTGATTCCCGCTGGGGCAACCCATATGAATGTATGCAAGCAGTACTGTAAGTCTCTTTGGATAAAAGTGTCTGCTGAATGGCATAATGTTTATATGTTATGTGTGTGTGTGGCAATCTAATCTGCCAGGGGATGAGGTCTTTCAGTGTATGTGTGTGTGTCAGTCTAACCTGCCAAGCAATGAGGTCTTTCAGTTTGCCCAGTTTCTCCTGGTCCTCAGGGTGATCCTTTTGGTACTTCTCTGTGAAGAACGCCTGCAGAGAGGAGAGGAGAGAGGACAGAGAGGAGACGAGAGTGGAGACAGGAGAGGAGAGAGGAGATAAGAGAGAGAAGAGAGGGGAGGTGGAGAGGGGAGAGAGGAGGGGAGAGAGGAGAGGAGAGGTGGAGAGGGGAACGAGAGTAGGGGAGAGGAGAGGAGAGGAGAGGAGAGGAGAGGAGAGGAAGAGGAGCGGACGAGGAGAGGGAGGAGAGGAGAGGAGAAAGGAGGAAGAGCGGAGAGGAGATAAGGGGAGAAGGAGGAGGAGGGGAGAGATGAGAGGTGGAGAGGGGAGAGAGAGGAGGGGAGAAAGGAGAGAGGAGAGAGAGTAGGGGAGAGAGTAGAGGTGGAGGAGTGAGGTGGGAGAGGAGGAGGAGAGAGGAGGAGGTTGGGAGAGGAGGAGAGAGGAGGGGAGAGAGGAGAAGGAGAGAGGAGATGATGGGGAAGTAGAGGAGGAAGGGTGGAGAGAGGAGAGAGAGGAGATGGGAGGGTGGAGAGGGGAGAGAGGGTGGAAGGAAGAGAGAGGGTGGAGAGAGGAGAGGAGAGGGGTGAGAGGGGGAGGAAGAGAGGAGAGGTGGAGAGGGGAGAGAGAGGAGGGGAGAGAGGAGAGGGAGGGGAGAGGTGGAGAGAGGAGAGAGAGGAGAAGTGAGGGTGGAGAGGGTGGAGAGAAGAGAGAGGGGAGAGAGGGAGCGGGTGGAGAGGGGGCGGGGAAGAGAGGAGACGGGAGAGGGAGGAGGGGGGGAGAGGGGGAGCGAGAAGGGAGAGCAGGAGGGAGTTAGAGGGGGAGGGGGAGAGGAGGGGGGAGAGAGGAGAGAGAGGTGGGGAGAGAGGAGAGAGGAGGGGAGAGAGGAGAGAGGGGTGGGGAGAGAGGAGAGAGAGGAGGGGACAGAGGGTGGAGAGTGGGTGGAGAGAGGAAGAGAGAGAGGGTGGAGAGAGGAGGAGAAGTCAGAACTCATTACAGTAACAATCTTTTATGTCTCCTGTATGAAATAGGTTGTATTTTTCTACATGGGGAAGATGTTCCAAACCACTATGATCAGATAGTTCAAACAAACTATGGTTGTTATTTTGGGTTCATAATAAATGACTAAAGCTGTTATTAGGTGTTGGGTTCATAATAAATGACTAAAGCTGTTATTAGACGTTGGGTTCATAATAAATGACTAAAGCTGTATTCATTAGCTAAGTAAGGTAGAAAAAAGTGAAATGCTACTGTACCTTCTCGTAGTTGGTGAAGCCACCCATGACAGCGGGGTCCACGATGCCGTTGAGCAGCATGGAGAGGGGGTTGATGGGAAGGTTGGAGTCATTCAGGTGACGCTGCACCATGTTGCTGATCTTCTCATTGGTCAGTTGCATTGTCTCCATGGCATTCTCCAATGGGCTGATCTCCTCCTGAACACAGGAAGCAGGAAGTAAAGAACACCAGGAAGGGTCAAAGTTCATATTAATTTCAAGTTGAGGTTAATCTGTGAGTGAGAGCCAGTATAACAACAGGACGTCTACACGAGGGGATCTGATGTCTGAATCTCTGGGACAGATTGGTGATGACAACGGTAGAACGTGTGTGGATTGTCTGAGTAAATTACAGTTGAAACATTGATGCATTGTTTTCTTCTACTTTTAGAAGGATCTGTGTGACTGCCTGGCAGGGTGACACATCTCCAATCTGCAGTGAATCCCAACCTGACTAGCCTCTTTAAGACAGGCATCAGATGGAAGGATTTAGAAAGACTATGGGCTCTATCCAATCTGGATTGCTGAAGCCTTACAGATTGCGCAATAGGAATGTAAAGGTCATTTCTGATTGAGCCGACATATGCAGCGTTTACCGTGAATGCAGTCTCCAGTAACGCGGTAACATTGCCTTTAAATGTCAATCACGCTGTAACGCTGAACATCTGCGATACGGATTGAATAAAGCCCTAGGACGTGGGGGGGGGGGGGGGGGGGGGGAAATAAATAATATACCGTGGGGGACCTGCCCTGTTCTCTGCTCATCTGGGTGACAATATACCATGGGGGACCTGCCCTGTTCCCAGCTCATCTGGGTGACAATATACCGTGGGGGACCTGCCCTGTTCCCAGCTCATCTGGGTGACAATATACCGTGGGGGACCTGCCCTGTTCCCAGCTCATCTGGGTGACAATATACCGTGGGGGACCTGCCCTGTTCCCAGCTCATCTGGGTGACAATTATACCGTGGGGGGGGACCTGCCCTGTTCCCAGTCATCTGGGTGACAATATACCGTGGGGGACCATGCCCTGTTCCCAGCTCATCTGGGTGACAATATACCGTGGGGGACCTGCCCTGTTCCCAGCTCATCTGGGTGACAATATACCGTGGGGGACCTGCCCTGTTCCCAGCTCATCTGGGTGACAATATACCGTGGGGGACCTGCCCTGTTCCCAGCTCATCTGGGTGACAATATACCATGGGGGACCTGCCCTGTTCCCAGCTCATCTGGGTGACAATATACCATGGGGGACCTGCCCTGTTCTCTGCTCATCTGGGTGACAATATACCATGGGGGACCTGCCCTGTACCCAGCTCATCTGGGTGACAATATACCATGGGGGACCTGCCCTGTTCCCAGCTCATCTGGGTGACAATATACCGTGGGGGACCTGCCCTGTTCCCAGCTCATCTGGGTGACAATATACCGTGGGGGACCTGCCCTGTTCCCAGCTCATCTGGGTGACAATATACCGTGGGGGACCTGCCCTGTTCCCAGCTCATCTGGGTGACAATATGCCGTGGGGGACCTGCCCTGTTCCCAGCTCATCTGGGTGACAATATACCGTGGGGGACCTGCCCTGTTCTCTGCTCATCTGGGTGACAATATACCGTGGGGGACCTGCCCTGTTCCCAGCTCATCTGGGTGACAATATGCCGTGGATGGAGCAACACCCAGACAGGACAAACTAGATATGGTTGGTTACTACTGCAGCAACAACCAGACAGGACACACTAGATATGGTTGATTACTACTGCAGCAACACCCAGACAGGACACACTAGATATGGTTGGTTTCTACTGCAGCAACACCCAGACAGGACACACTAGATATGGTTGGTTTTTACTGCAGCAACACCCAGACAGGACACACTAGATATGGTTGGTTACTACTGCAGCAACAACCAGACAGGACACACTAGATACGGTTGGTTACAACTGCAGCAACACCCAGACAGGACACACTAGATATGGTTGGTTTCTACTGCAGCAACACCCAGACAGGACACACTAGATATGGTTGGTTACAACTGCAGCAACACCCAGACAGGACACACTAGATACGGTTGGTTACTACTGCAGCAACACCCAGACAGGACACACTAGATATGGTTGGTTACTACTGCAGCAACACCCAGACAGGACACACTAGATATGGTTGGTTACTACTGCAGCAACACCCAGACAGGACACACTAGATATGATTGGTTACTACTGCAGCAACACCCAGACAGGACACACTAGATATGGTTGGTTACTACTGCAGCAACACCCAGACAGGACACACTAGATATGGTTGGTTACTACTGCAGCAACACCCAGACAGGACACACTAGATATGGTTGATTGTCTACTGCAGCAACAACCAGACAGGACACACTAGATATGGTTGGTTACTACTGCAGCAACACCCAGACAGGTCACACTAGATATGGTTGGTTCCTACTGCAGCAACAACCAGACAGGACACACTAGATATGGTTGGTTACTACTGCAGCAACACCCAGACAGGACACACTAGATATGGTTGGTTACTACTGCAGCAACACCCAGACAGGACAAACTAGATATGGTTGGTTACTACTGCAGCAACACCCAGACAGGACACACTAGATATGATTGGTTACTACTGCAGCAACACCCAGACAGGACACACTAGATATGGTTGGTTTTCTACTGCAGCAACACCCAGACAGGACACACTAGATATGGTTGATTGTCTACTGCAGCAACACCCAGACAGGACACACTAGATATGGTTGGTTACTACTGCAGCAACACCCAGACAGGACACACTAGATATGGTTGGTTACTACTGCAGCAACACCCAGACAGGACACACTAGATATGGTTGGTTTCTACTGCAGCAACACCCAGACAGGACAAACTAGATATGGTTGGTTTCTACTGCAGCAACACCCAGACAGGACACACTAGATATGGTTGGTTACTACTGCAGCAACACCCAGACAGGACACACTAGATATGGTTGATTGTGTACTGCAGCAGAGATAGTAGAGAGAGAGTCAAGAGAGATAAAGAGAGAGATAGTAGAGAGCGAGATAATAGAGACAGAGTAGAGAGAGAGATAGTAGAGAGAGATAGTAGAGAGAGAGATAGTAGAGAGGGATATATTAGAGAGAGAGTAAGTAGAGAGATGGAGATAGTAGAGAGATAGTAGAGGAAGATAGTAGAGAGATTAGATGAGATAGTAGAGAGAGAGAGAGTATAGAGATAGTAGAGAGAGATAGAGCGAAATAGTAGAGATAGTGACAGTACAGAGATATTTGAGAAATAGTAGAGAGAGATTATAGAGGGAGACTATAATGACAGAGAGAGAGATAGTAGAGAGAGACAGTAGGCAGAGATAGTAGAGAGAGAGAGTAGTGTGAGACAAAGAGAGATAGTAGCGAGAGATAGTAGAGAGAGAGATAGTAGAGAGGGAAATAGTAGAGAGAAAGATTGTAGAGAGAGGGAGACAGTAGAGAGATATATACAGTGGGGAAAAAAAGTAATTAGTAAGCCACCAATTGTGCAAGTTCTCCCACTTAAAAAGATGAGAGAGGCCTGTAATTTTCATCATAGGTACACGTCAACTATGAGAGACAAATTGAGGAGAAAAAATCCAGAAAATCACATTGTAGGATTTTTAATGAATTTATTTGCAAATTATGGTGGAAAATAAGTATTTGGTCACCTACAAACAAGCAAGATTTCTGGCTCTCACAGACCTGTAACTTCTTCTTTAAGAGGCTCCTCTGTCCTCCACTCGTTACCTGTATTAATGGTACCTGTTTGAACTTGTTATCAGTATAAAAGACACCTGTCCACAACCTCAAACAGTCACACTCCAAACTCCACTATGGTCAAGACCAAAGAGCTGTCAAAGGACACCAGAAACAAAATTGTAGACCTGCACCAGGCTGGGAAGACTGAATCTGCAATAGGTAAGCAGCTTGGTTTGAAGAAATCAACTGTGGGAGCAATTATTAGGAAATGGAAGACATACAAGACCACTGATAATGTCCCTCGATCTGGGGCTCCACACAAGATCTCACCCCGTGGGGTCAAAATGATCACAAGAACGGTGAGCAAAAATCCCAGAACCACACGGGGGGACCTAGTGAATGACCTGCAGAGAGCTGGGACCAAAGTAACAAAGCCTTCCATCAGTAACACACTACGCCGCCAGGGACTCAAATCCTGCAGTGCCAGACGTGTCCCCCTGCTTAAGCCAGTACATGTCCTGGCCAGTCTGAAGTTTGATAGAGTGCATTTGGATGATCCAGAAGAGGATTGGGAGAATGTCATATGGTCAGATGAAACCAAAATATAACTTTTTGGTAAAAACTCAACTCGTCGTGTTTGGAGGACAAAGAATGCTGAGTTGCATCCAAAGAACACCATACCTACTGTGAAGCATGGGGGTGGAAACATCATGCTTTGGGGCTGTTTTTCTGCAAAGGGACCAGGACGACTGATCCGTGTAAAGGAAAGAATGAATGGGGCCATGTATCGTGAGATTTTGAGTGAAAACCTCCTTCCATCAGCAAGGGCATTGATGATGAAACGTGGCTGGGTCTTTCAGCATGACAATGATCCCAAACACACCGCCCGGGCAACGAAGGAGTGGCTTCGTAAGAAGCATTTCAAGGTCCTGGAGTGGCCTAGCCAGTCTCCAGATCTCAACCCCATAGAAAATTTTTGGAGGGAGTTGAAAGTCCATGTTGCTCAGCGACAGCCCCAAAACATCACTGCTCTAGAGGAGATCTGCATGGAGGAATGGGCCAAAATTCCAGCAACAGTGTGTGAAAACCTTGTGAAGACTTACAGAAAACGTTTGACCTGTGTCATTGCCAACAAAGGGTATATAACAAAGTATTGAGAAACTTTTGTTATTGACCAAATACTTATTTTCCACCATAATCTGCAAATAAATTCATTAAAAATCCTACAATGTGATTTTCAGGATTTTTTTCTCTCATTTTGTCTGTCATAGTTGACGTGTACCTATGATGAAAATTACAGGCCTCTCTCATCTTTTTAAGTGGGAGAACTTGCACAATTGGTGGCTGACTAAATACTTTTTTCCCACACTGTATATTAGAGAGAGAGATAGAGATATGGAGATAGTAGAGAGATTGTAGATAGAGAGATAGAGAGTGATAGTAGAGAGATAGCAGAGAGAGAGAGAGAGTAGAGAGATAGAGCGAAATAGTAGAGAGAGATAGTACAGAGATATTAAAGAAATAGTAGAGAGAGATTATAGAGGGAGATTATAATGAGAGAGAGATAGTAGAGAGATAGTAGAGAGAGAGTAGTTGGAGACAGAGAGAGATAGTAGGGAGAGATAGTAGTAGAGAGAGAGTAGTTGGAGACAGAGAGAGATAGTAGCGAGAGATAGCAGAGAGAGAGATAGTAGAGAGGGAGATAGTAGAGAGAGGTAGTAGAGAGAGATAGTAGAGAGGTACTAGAGAGATAGATAGATAGAGAGATAGTAGAGCGAGCGATAGTAGAGCGAGACACTAGAGAGATAGTAGAGAGAGATAGTAGAGAGAGACAGTAGAGAGTGAGATAGTAGAGATAGAGATAGTACAGAGATATTAGAGAGAAATAGTATAGAGGGAGAGAGAGACAGTAGAGAGAGATAGAGAGAGAGAGTAGTGAGAGACAGAGAGATAGTAGCGAGAGATAGTAGAGCGAGGTAGAGCGAGAGATAGTAGAGAGGTAGTCGAGAGAGTGTGATAGTAGAGAGAGAGAGATCGTAGAGAGAGAGAGTTATATTGAGACAGAGAGAGTAGAGATGGAGAGAGAGACAGAGAGACTAGATAGAGATCCCCTTCTCTTCACCAGCTCTGACATGAAAGGGATTAATCAAAGGGACAAATAAAGCATCATTGATTCCAGAATACTCAGACAGCCTAATTACATTAAGTACTGGATTTGGTTTTGGACCAAATAATGAAATATTAAAAGGATGAGTTGACAGACTCTCTGCAGGGCTCTGACTGATACTGTACATACAGAAACAGATCATCTCTCTCTCTCTCTCTCTCTCTCTCTCTCACACACACACACACACACACACACCAGGGTGCTATTATGAACAAAGAATGAAATAATAATTACTCAGACATTGTGTTCATGTGAAAAGGCTATAGAAATATAGGAGATGCTTAAGGGACTTTAAACAGTAAAAGGTAAATCGATGAGCAGCGCTGGCAGTGGAAAGTGTGTATGTCTGTACAGGTTAAGTGGACAAAATCAGATCGATCCACTGCGTAGGCCACAGATCCTGATTTGATTAGTAATGTCTGCTTGGCGCCCAAGCTCATCACACTCACTGGAGACCGACTTGACGTTGACACACACACACACACACACACACACACACACACACACACACACACACACACACACTCACCGTGGAGACAGACTTGACTTCAAACCATCGCAGGATGCCAGGCAGTTTGTAGGCCGTGGTGTAAGTGGTCCGCTCAATCCACATGTTCTGGAAAAAGAAATAAAACGGTATAAAAGAGATGAAGTTGTAAATACTTTTTTGTCTTCATGGAGACAAATTACAGGTGCACTGAGGAGACAGACAGAGCACTGAGGAGACAGACAGAGCACTGAGGAGACAGACAGAGCACTGAGGAGACAGACAGAGCACTGAGGAGACAGACAGAGCACTGAGGAGCCAGACAGAGCACTGAGCAGACAGACAGAGCACTGAGGAGACAGCAAATTGTTGTTCTTTCCTGCAACGGTTTTATAGATCAACATTTCCTGTTGACGTCATATGTACCAGAGAGGGAATGGAATGGTTGTTGAGTTAAATTCCAACTAGGCTGTTGGTGGTGAGGAGGATGAAGGAAGACTATAGTAGGTGAGTGTGTGTGTGTGTGTGTGTGTGTGTGTCTGTGTGTGTGTGTGTGTGTGCGTGTGTGTGTGTCTGTCTGTGTGTAATAAAGGGACTCCCCAGTTCATCACACATCACTATTAGAAATAATGGAGCCAGTGCTTACAGGATGACAGGGCTCTTAGAAGAGAAGACTTAGAAAAAACATTTGTTGTTCTTTCCTGCACCTTTTTTTACAGAAAATGTTGTTGTTGGGTATTAAAAGGCCATCAGAGAGAACCCGGCTGGTGTAGTGATGGAGGAAGGGGGACTAAAAGATGTCTTGGTATTAGTTAGCAGCTCCCCTGTTCTCCCAACATGCTGTGTGTGTATGGATGCTGCTGGTGTAGTGATGGAGGAAGGAGGACTAGAAGATGTCTTGGTATTAGTTAGCAGCTCCCCTGTTCTCCCAACATGCTGTGTGTGTGTATGGATGCTGCTGGTGTAGTGATGGAGGAAGGAGGACTAGAAGATGTCTTGGTATTAGTTAGCAGCTCCCCTGTTCTCCCAACATGCTGTGTGTGTGTATGGATGCTGCTGGTGTAGTGATGGAGGAAGGAGGACTAGAAGATGTCTTGGTATTAGTTAGCAGCTCCCCTGTTCTCCCAACATGCTGTGTGTGTGTATGGATGCTGCTGGTGTAGTGATGGAGGAAGGACGACTAGAAGATGTCTTGGTATTAGTTAGCAGCTCCCCTGTTCTCCCCAACATGCTGTGTGTGTGTATGGATGCTGCTGGTGTAGTGATGGAGGAAGGAGGACTAGAAGATGTCTTGGTATTAGTTAGCAGCTCCCCTGTTCTCCCAACATGCTGTGTGTGTGTATGGATGCTGCTGGTGTAGTGATGGAGGAAGGAGGACTAGAAGATGTCTTGGTATTAGTTAGCAGCTCCCCTGTTCTCCCAACATGCTGTGTGTGTGTATGGATGCTGCTGGTGTAGTGATGGAGGAAGGAGGACTAGAAGATGTCTTGGTATTAGTTAGCAGCTCCCCTGTTCTCCCAACATGCTGTGTGTGTGTATGGATGCTGCTGGTGTAGTGATGGAGGAAGGAGGACTAGAAGATGTCTTGGTATTAGTTAGCAGCTCCCCTGTTCTCCCAACATGCTGTGTGTGTGTATGGATGCTGCTGGTGTAGTGATGGAGGAAGGAGGACTAGAAGATGTCTTGGTATTAGTTAGCAGCTCCCCTGTTCTCCCAACATGCTGTGGGTGTGTATGGATGCTGCTGGTGTAGTGATGGAGGAAGGAGGACTAGAAGATGTCTTGGTATTAGTTAGCAGCTCCCCTGTTCTCCCAACATGCTGTGTGTGTGTGTATGGATGCTGCTGGTGTAGTGATGGAGGAAGGAGGACTAGAAGATGTCTTGGTATTAGTTAGCAGCTCCCCTGTTCTCCCAACATGCTGTGTGTGTGTATGGATGCTGCTGGTGTAGTGATGGAGGAAGGAGGACTAGAAGATGTCTTGGTATTAGTTAGCAGCTCCCCTGTTCTCCCAACATGCTGTGTGTGTGTATGGATGCTGCTGGTGTAGTGATGGAGGAAGGAGGACTAGAAGATGTCTTGGTATTAGTTAGCAGCTCCCCTGTTCTCCCAACATGCTGTGTGTGTGTATGGATGCTGCTGGTGTAGTGATGGAGGAAGGAGGACTAGAAGATGTCTTGGTATTAGTTAGCAGCTCCCCTGTTCTCCCAACATGCTGTGTGTGTGTATGGATGCTGCTGGTGTAGTGATGGAGGAAGGGGGACTAGAAGATGTCTTGGTATTAGTTAGCAGCTCCCCTGTTCTCCCAACATGCTGTGTGTGTATGGATGCTGCTGGTGTAGTGATGGAGGAAGGAGGACTAGAAGATGTCTTGGTATTAGTTAGCAGCTCCCCTGTTCTCCCAACATGCTGTGTGTGTGTATGGATGCTGCTGGTGTAGTGATGGAGGAAGGAGGACTAGAAGATGTCTTGGTATTAGTTAGCAGCTCCCCTGTTCTCCCAACATGCTGTGTGTGTGTATGGATGCTGCTGGTGTAGTGATGGAGGAAGGAGGACTAGAAGATGTCTTGGTATTAGTTAGCAGCTCCCCTGTTCTCCCAACATGCTGTGTGTGTGTATGGATGCTGCTGGTGTAGTGATGGAGGAAGGAGGACTAGAAGATGTCTTGGTATTAGTTAGCAGCTCCCCTGTTCTCCCAACATGCTGTGTGTGTGTATGGATGCTGCTGGTGTAGTGATGGAGGAAGGAGGACTAGAAGATGTCTTGGTATTAGTTAGCAGCTCCCCTGTTCTCCCAACATGCTGTGTGTGTGTATGGATGCTGCTGGTGTAGTGATGGAGGAAGGAGGACTAGAAGATGTCTTGGTATTAGTTAGCAGCTCCCCTGTTCTCCCAACATGCTGTGTGTGTGTATGGATGCTGCTGGTGTAGTGATGGAGGAAGGAGGACTAGAAGATGTCTTGGTATTAGTTAGCAGCTCCCCTGTTCTCCCAACATGCTGTGTGTGTGTATGGATGCTGCTGGTGTAGTGATGGAGGAAGGAGGACTAGAAGATGTCTTGGTATTAGTTAGCAGCTCCCCTGTTCTCCCAACATGCTTTGTGTGTGTATGGATGACAGCTAACGAGTGGGACTCTCCTCTAGTACATCATCTACCAGAAACAATGACTCACATAACCTGAGAAGAAAACCACAGGACGTTAAAGAAAAACGTATATATTTCCCTCTGGCTGCTTTCAAATCACATCTTATATATTGTTTTGTTCTAGCAGTCGGTCAGATGAAGACCAGCATGCCCCTGTGGCATTCCCCTATTTAAGAAGATCCAAGTTTGTGTCCGATACTTAAGGAAAAGAAAGTTGATGAGCCATTATGTGTTTTATAACAATGTTAATAATGCATCATGACTCACTATGACTGCAAGATGGGCTACTAACTAGGTTAAGAACGTTTGAAGGTGGTGCAATTCAATATCAGGAAGTTGTTCGTAATGTTTTGTCCACTCGGTGTATGTAGCCTGCATATTAACGTACTGTGTGCTAGATGGTTTCCTATGTCATTTCAGAAAAGCCCTGGTTGGTTTAAAAACGTGTACTTAATGCGGGCAAGGCTATGTTGTTCTCTAATTCCCACGAAACAAATTCAGATGGACTACATATTTATTCATTGGACGGCTCTCCCATCGATCGGGTTCCCGCCTATAAATATCTGGGCATTTGGATTGACAAAGATTTACCGTTTTATAAAACATGGATGAGCTAGTTGAAAAGCTTTTAAAGTGGGCTTATTTTTTTAAATATTGATTTTGTTTCTCCCTAAACAGCAGGAAGCAGATTGTACAGTCAACTTTCCTGCCAAATCTTGACTGTGGTGACTCCATTTACCAGAATGCAGCAGCCACTACTCTTAAACCATTGGATGCCGTCTACCAGAGCACCCTTCTCTTTACCACAGGTGACAGGTGTAATACTCACCACTGCATCCTGTATCAAAAGGTTGTCTGGTCCTCATTAAAAGTCCTGTAGATCACCTCTCTATTCCCTGTCTGTTTACAGAGCTCTACTACACAAGCTTCCAACTTACCTCACTTCGCTGTTGAAGTGTAAAAACATGCGACACCAAACCCGTTCACAGAGTTGGTTAACTGTTGAGGTTCCTCGGGTCTCCACTGAACTAGGTGATTCTGCTTTTAGTTTTAAAGCACCTTAGTGCTGGAACCAACTACAAAACGCATTACAACTGGATGTTCTGGTGCCGCTCGGGGTTCATTTAAAATGTTGATCGGGGACCTTCTTATTGAGGAATGTAACTGTTTTTCTGGAATATTATTGTTGTGCTGTTTTTAACTTTTTGATATTGTATTTGATTTTGTCTTATGAAATTGTATATGCAGGTCTCCCTTGTGAAATAGACCCTTGGTCTCAATGGTGACTCCCTGATTAAATAAAGATACAATTTTAAAACAAATGAAGTATCGCTGCTTTACCAAACACATGAAAGCAATTACAGTACTGACATTGTCTCTCCATCTTTCAATAGTCACAACAATTCTATCATTAACATTACAGCCCTCAATGAGGGAAATGTACAAAAGAAAGTTTAGAGAATAAATATGAATATGATATATACCGAGAACTCATTGTCTGGGTCCTTCTCACCCTTCCTCACCGGTCTGGAGTACTGAAACTGATACACCTCGTTTATCATGTAGAAGCTGGAGAGAGAGACAGAGAGAGAGAGAGAGAGAGAGAGAGAGAGAGAGAGAGAGAGAGAGAGAGAGAGAGAGAGAGAGAGAGAGAGAGAGAGAGAGAGAGAGAGAGACAGAGAGAGAGACAGAGAGAGAGACAGAGAGAGAGAGGAGACAGAGAGAGAGAGGAGACAGAGAGAGAGAGGAGACATAGAGAGAGAGAGAGAGAGAGAGAGAGAGAGAGAGAGAGAGAGAGAGAGAGAGAGAGAGACAGATAGAGCGAGAGAGAGAGAGAGAGAGAGAGAGAGAGAGAGAAACGAGTAGAGAATTAAATTAAAAGTGTTATGGCCCATCTGCAGGTTGATTCAATGGTTGATTATGTTTCTGTTTCAGGTGAAAAACAGGTCAGTGAGTCAGTAGCATGAACATCCTTCACTTAGACTGGC